TTCGGGTCTGCTTTAGCATTCGGCTTTTTGTTCATTTACGCGTTCGTCATTATTAGAAATCTTGCAATCTTTATGTATAAAACTAAATATTTGATGCTTGCGGTTTGAATTCGTTCGTTCGTGCTGGCTATTAGTATTTCACTCGTACTTTTAATTTTACTTACTGCTTCATTTGAATTCAAAGAAATTACCTATTCGCATAAACGTCCGTTTTTGATCTTTGTGGCAGATATAAAGTGAACACCAATGCATGTAAATACCTAAGATAATCAACTTTTCAATAATTTAAGATTTTGTAATATAAGTTTTATACTTTTGGATAATTCAAATATTGGATATTCACGAAGTTTTACGACTAGATTAAATAAAATTAAAACGAAAAATTGAATTTTTAGTTGTAATAACGACAGTTAGATACAATAACCTTTGAAAAAGTTAATTTCACAATTTTCTAGATGCATTATATTATTTTCGAATAAAAACATTAGAGATAGTCACGTGTAAAATAAAACCGATTTTACAAATATACAAAATATTCAGAATTTGAATCGATTAAATTTATCGTCAAGTCATAATATTTGTTATAAAATTTAAAATTTCAAATTAGCAAAATCAAAGTAATAATTATTTTTTTTCTTTTTGCTACAATCTAATCCAATCTTTGTTTCAATTTGTATATAAATAATGAAGAAAATGAAAGATATCGGTAAAATTTTCACGAGGCGTCGATCGGATTAGAAGCCGAAGGTGAACCTCGGCGTCTCGTTTAAACACTGCTTTCACGAAGATAGATTGGAGGCTGGTGCTATTTCGAGGGGAGGCCGACGGGTCATCGCGTGTAAAAAAGTGTGACGTTAATTAAAGGCTCGACATAAATCACGGTGAACGCATGGAAACGCTTTTCTTCGTACACAACCACCACGCTGCATTTCCAAGTTTTACCAAGCGCTATACCCTCACACGTGACAAGTATGTAATCAACGGACGAGCGAGCGATGCATAAACGGCGTGACTGGACTGTCGAGTCTTGGAAATACCTATGGATACGCTTCGCTTAATTGAAATGCTATTAGCTTCAGAAATTTTTCTATTCGATTGTACACTCTCGTCCATAAGTAAATTGGTTAAAACGTTAAAACTGTCATTGTACAATGCGTATCCAAATATTTCGTGTTATATATATATATATATATACATGTATGAAATATGACGAGATGAAGATGTTCGTTTTATGCCTCGCTTCATCTCTTGCAAAACTCGATTGCTTTCAACGAATATGTTAACATTTTGTATAAATAATTATAGCTGATAAAAACAAATAGATAGATTTGTAATTATATTTGTCTCTATAAAATGCAACAATGAAACGCAATAAAACAAAAATTAAAGGAAAATATAATTTATTATAAATATATCGCCATTTATTTTCAAATTTTGTACGATTGTACATTTGTAGACAGAAGATGAAGTCGTTTCGAGAAAGATATTTAAAAGAAAAGAATTAAAAATTTATCAAATTTTTGCAAGTTAAGATAACAGGTTAAGATGGTGATTTATTATGAGTGGGAGTGTAAATGATATAACGATTAAAAGAATTCTCTGTGTCACGAGTGGAACAAAGGCAGCCGCCACGTGGAGGGTCGCTCTCTATATTTGGAAATATTTGCAACGAATGACACACTTCGAACCGTTGGAATTCAAGTTTGATTATTAACATATATAATAAGGTTAAAAAATTAGATATATTAATCAATTGTCGATTTAGTTAAACAAAATATTCAAAATCTGTGATGAAAGAAAGAAAAACGCGTGATTAACAAAATAGTGAAAATAGATTATCATTTTATCATACATTAAAAATTATGATTTACTTTCCAAATAAGTAACGTGTCTCGATTCCAATCGCGCGACAGTTTCATCTAACCGCTATTCAAAAGGCCACGTATATTTGAAATTAACTATTTAACTATATAATACTATATATATATATATATATATATTAACTATATAAAACTATATAATTAACTATATAAACATTGAAATTAAGAAATGGAATCGAACACGTTGATTTTCATTGAAAACGGTGTACAGAAGACAGGAAAGACGATCAGTTGGCGGTGGTAGCACGTGTAGCGAGGAAAACGGTGTTATTTAACGCTGCAGCGCTATTTCCAGGTGCGTGCGTCGCCGGTGTCGAGTGGGCACTCACCGACGAACTACGACGCCACTCGAGCCAGCCTTTATACCACTTAATCTCCTTTCACCTAGTCCGTCGAAACGAGTCATTTTTAGTGGCACTCCTTTTACTGCCATTTTCGACCTCCGTTTATCGTATCAGTCACGGGGGATTTTCAGTTTAATTCCAGTGCATCTGGAGCGAGACCGGTTCACGGACGATGATGTTGATTAAACGTTTCGCCATATTAAGCGATTCAACTCTTCGAAAATCTCTGTTTATAACGTGATTCGTCTTTTACTTATTGATCGATCGATCGAGGAGGAAATTATTTTGTCGATTTTTTTTTTTTTAACGACGTGAGATAATTTGATGATATTTCGCTTTCGTTAAATATCTTGGAAATATAAAACGTGGAGTTGTTAATAGATTACGTAATAATAATTTTTATATTTGTGAAAAATTGTATGGGTGCTAGTAATACTAGAATTCTTGAAAATGTTAGCATAACTAGTTAAAAATTTTAAAATAGCATTTAATAGTGTTAAGTGGTACTTTTTTTACATTCAAATTAAAGTTTATGTATAAGATAATTTTTGCAATTCGAAACAGGATTGGCAATATTGATCTTCAATATTGATCCTGTTTTACCATAATTTGCAGGCTCTGATATTTTTAATTGAAAACCTTTAGAAGATCTCGTAATATTTTAAATTATCTTAATTAATTTGTACCGTAGATGACAGTATTTTAAAAAAAATGAAATATTTTATTTTCATTCTATTTTTTTTTTCTATTCTATTTTAATCATTACGGATTATTTTATTTCTCTTTTTAATTTCGTTATAAAATTCACAGTTAAATTCAGTTTGTTTTATCCTAATTGGCGTATTACGATAGAATTCCTTATAGTTGAAAAAACTGAACCATCCCAAACGAATCGTTAATTGAAAGGAACAAAATGGACAAAAAAACGTTTAAGATGATTATCTCGGTCGGTAAGAAATCCCGCGCGAATTAATGGGAATAGGAATATGACAGAGACGGTTGAGCACAAGAGCGCGTGCAACGAATCGACTGGATCGTGCACTGTTTCCTCGCCATTTGATTTATACTAACCCTCACTGTTGGATCGCTTGAAATATCTTGGATAAATTGCGCTGTTTCGATTCGAAAAAAAAAATTTTTTCCACCAGGTAATTGCATTATAATATACCATCTTTCGAACCTCGATCGTGCGTTTAGCCGCGTAATTGTTAGGTTATGTTAGGTTTTTTATTTCTCTACAAGGAAATAATAATTGAATAGATCGTAACGACAAAACGATTCTTGTCCAATTTCATTTAAGATGCGTTATAATTTTATGATGAATTAAATATATTCTTTTTCAATATAATTATAAATATCACTAGCGTATAAATAGTGCATTTTGTTAAATTTTACCTTCTCAAAAGAATACAGTTTCTCTAGTTGCTACAGTAAGAATTGAATCTGGATAAATACGTAGGCAACTTCTTTAAATTTGAGTAACACGATATATATAACGTATAAAAAAGAATTTTAATATAATATTTCTCATTTTCAGAAAAATGATATAAAACACATATTCAACATGTTCAATAAAAAATGGATATATTGATTTGAACTGCTAATGTACAATTATCACGTAATATCTTTTTACATTATTTCCAATGTTTAAACTATGTATGATGTACATTGATGATAATTTGTGATAATTATGTCATTTGTTCCAACCTTCGCGCTATAATAAATCGCGATTCGATCGATGACGATCTTTGTGGGCAATTTCGTTAATGATCATCTTGCGTTAGATTAATTCCTTTTCTTTTTTGTATTATTTATTATTAAATTTATATTATAAGATCGAAATCTAATTTTTTTTTACGATTACGCAAAACTCGAAATTTTACGACTCTCATTCTTTTTGTTAAAAATTAAAATTTCAACTTAATTTTGACTCGTGAAAATTTTCAAACTCGAATTATTATCTACGATAATAAAATTAGTTATCACGTAAAAAAAATCTAATTTTTGTATCAATTCTCTTAGCAAAGAGTATCGTAAATTTCGAAATATTGACTAAACATTTATCTCGATGTCCGATCTTCCAATCAGAGGATATCTGCAATTACGAGGGAGAGAATCGGACGGTAAAGTAGATTTTCCCGTCTTTTGAAAAGAGTTCGATCAGATTTCAGCGTGCAGGATACGATAGAATCGCGTACGATATACGCGAAGTAGAAATAGCACAACAAAACCATTCTTCTAGAAGAAGAAAAAGAAGAAGAAGAAGGTCGAGTATTTCATTGTACATCTGTTCCCTGGGGGGAGTTTACTGACAATGCGTTGATCAAACTTTAATAACTCGCCGCCAGAGTGCGAAAATTTGTACATTTTTTTTCATTTCCCGAGGCGCGCACGGAGTATATGCGATGATGAAAGTTTATATTTCGAACGTTCTGCGCCATTCAGCCAAGAAGATTATAAAATGATACATTTTTGTATGTAAAAAAAAAAGTAATTACATCAAATTTATATACGAATCATTATTATCTTTTATACCGATAAATATTTATCTGAAACATCTTTCGTAAAAATCGTTTACTCATAGAATAAAAGTAAAGTATCTGTAAAGAAAAGAATATTTTAAATACAATGTTAACGTAAAATATAAATTAAAATTCTGCTTAATATAAATATTTTATGTCTTCAGAGTTCGGTCTTATTACGAAACGTAGTCTCATCGAGTTATGTTGTTAATATAAAATCAGAGGAAAAGAAAGTAAATTCCTCGCATTATTTCTTCGTTGATGATTTATCGGTTTTTTTTTTTCCCCCTTTAAATCCCGATTCTTAGCGGATGCGGTCTAAAATCTGAAACATTATTAACTTTGAAATTGCGCTTCGAGGCATGTCATGACCTGGTTTCAGAAAAGGTTAATCCAGCCGCGCTTAGTTTTTAAGCTCCGACTTACTGCTATACCTTTAAGAGACGGAATAACCTTTGCATTCCAGCTGATCTTTCATGCAAATGGACAACGATATACAGAGTGTCTGGATTCATCTGTGGAAACTTTATCTCAAAAAGTGTATGTAGATAGATGAAAAATTAGTTTTTCGAGTAAAAGTTTATAATCAAATTGGATTATTGTGATTATATTTCACCTTGACAAGTCTTACGAAGATCTTGGATTGTTTTTTGCGGATAATATTTTGTCATTATGAATATATGGATTTTTCAACGGTTATTTATTTTAGCAAGTAAATACATTTTATATCATAATGCTGCCACGAATTGAATGTATTTAAAATCCAAATGAAATGATAGTTGTACGTGATATATAACTAAAATTTTAAACATCTTCATAAGGTATATCAAAAATCAAATGAATTTGTGCACGTTTTTTGAAATATATTACGATTCGAAGACTATGCGACGAACGATAAATCCAGAAAAGATTCATCGACTTCTTTTACTTCTTACTTCTTTTCGTAGAAATCTCGACGTTCTATCGATTCCCAAACGTTAATCAGTTCTCGTGCGATCAAAAACGGATCGATCGTCCTTCTACGATACTTTTCAAGAATGTCGAAGCGAGGTGAACAGGAAATCCGATTCTACGACGCCATTTCACACAAGATACTGTGTGCGCTCTTGTACTCGATACATTTGCGCGTGCGCAACACGTGATGTCACGTGATCTCTCTGTTTTACAAATAAATATCGAGAATAAATTGTAATCGCGTCACGTTTTCGAAAACGTTTTAAGGATTAAAGCTTCTTTGGAAGAATTCACGTGGAATTGGAGAATTCATATACAAATTGTTCCAATAATTATATAACAAATATTTTTTTATCGATCGAAAATTACATCGAACCATGTGACGAACAAACTATAATATTCGACACGTTAAGCATGAAATCAACCTCGAGTGGGCTACGCTTCGTGATTGGCTAACGTGTTTTTGTTGCCAACAGAATGGCAACGAAAGTTTTTGGAATTACCACATGTCATATTTTTAGGATGTGTATATTGTTGCATCTGATGAGCACACACTTCTCCATAACATTTCTTCATTTACGAATCGCTTGATACAATTAATATTTATTTACGTGATAATATTATTAAATCGTTGTTATTTCCTGTGGCCACGATAAACGATATTTATTATTTATCGTCATTTATAAGTTCGCCATTTTGGAAACGAATAATTTTTTCTCTAATCTTATTGTATTATATTTAATTTTGCCGCCATTTTTCCTCTTTTAATTATATTATTCGCGATACAAATCGAATCTGCGAACTAAAATTGCGAGACGTTTTAAATACGTAGTTTCAATAATATTTTGTTTAATCTCTTTTTAAATTTTAATTCACATTAAAGATAACATTTTGTAAATTATAATTTATAAATTATTTCCAATTTCTGAAGCTGAAAAATCCAACTTTTGAAATTATTTAATTATTTTCAATTATTTTCACATTGACATCAACTGATACTAGAAATTCTATCGTTTTCCACTTTTTTGAAAAAATCAAGGAAAAGAAATCTAAAATTTTATAAATATTTTCACGTTCTAAATTCGGATAAAAAATATTTCTACAACCAATTTGTACCGATTTCATGGAAATTCCGATCGAAAATTTTGAAATCGCATATTTTTCGATGCACGATGGTAAAAGAAAATTAATTGAAAATTGCGTTTTAACCTCGCGATGGTGCATTATCGAATATTCTAAAAACTGGTGTTATTTTTGTCGCAGGTTGCGCAGGACGCGATATTTGGCCGGGAAGCTTGCGGTAAGTGCTCGAGAATTACTTATTCCGTTTTACATTACCGCGTCCATTCATCAACGTTTCTCGTTGATGTGTATATATGCTCGCGCATATCTCGAAACATCCATGCCTTCGGTCACATCTTTCGAAATGGTACAGCACATTTGTATTTTTCAACGACACAGTTGGGCGAGTGAAATATAAATCGAATATTATTTCTTCCGTTCTACAATCGTCTACAGCTTTATATTAATTTTTGTATTATTAATGATAATTTTGATTTATATTCGTTTAAATTTAAGTTATCAAGATTGTGATATTCTTAATGGAGTAGTAAAACAATTTTCAAGAATTGTCTCCTTTCTTAAATAAAGGAAGGAAAATAGACGAGAAAGAAACAGTGTGCCGAGCAATAATAATCAAGCTGATCATTTGATGACACTTTTTACATAGACAGAATTGAATATAATTGATAATAGTAATAAATTATTTTTTTTTTTTTTACAAATAAAATCGATTTTATAAAAGGAAAAATTGCTTAAAAAATTAATAATATGTTCCAAATTTTAAAAGTAATAAAAAGCAAGCTAATTCGCAGATTAACCTTTTCCTTTTTTTTTTTTTTTTTTTTTTAATTGATAGATCTCAAAAATCTCAAATACGAGACTGTAAACCTCTTTGGTTTAAAAATCGCAACCATTGTACATATAGTACACGTATATACATATACCATAAAAGTGAGTCACTGTCTATCCATCTTCTACATCCTGTTTCAACAAAATCTTTTAAACCCGTATTAAATACATATTTATACTCGCTCATTCTCGTTTATGATGTTTAAACAAGAAACAAGTGTTACGTAAAGGTCGTGTAGATAATTAATAACCACAGGAACATAAACTCTAAATCTGTAAACTGTACGCCATAAATATCCTTAATTGATCGATTTACGAACGCGGCATGCGTCGAAAGTTGTTCGATGTAATAGTTGAAAGGTGGGGATGGCAAGAGGAGTGAGAAAGAGAGAGAGAGAGTGAGAAGGAAGGAAAAACAGGAAGGAAGAGTCGGGGAACTCCGGTCGATAATTTCGTAGGTTTATATTCGTCTGCAGTCGCTGCATCGGTCGTGAAAAATTTATTTGTCTAGCTCTCGCTCTAACATTTTTACAGTTGGATAGGATCTACCAAATAATTCGTCTCGCGCTTAAATAATATATCGCGATTCCAGGCTTCTCGCTTCTCTGTGTCTACCTATCTTATGACCTTGAATCCATAAAACGACAATTTTATTACGGTCTTCCCCAGACAGCCACCTAATACACTTGTAGCTATGACCGTGTTTTCGTGGAAAATGTTTTTTGACATAAAAATGTTTTACGGGCACGGTATTCTCTCTGGAGATTGTTTTGGAAATTTAATTTAACGAGAAATATTGATAGTTGATAATAAGAAGTTTGCTTTCTTTCTTTTTTTGATCGATTATTTGAATGGAAAATTATTTAATCATACAATGGTAATGTGATATCGGACACTTTTGAATTCTCATTTATTCAAGTAGCGTATAGAAAGGTTTTTATTATTTTTTACGATTTTTGACCATTTAGTTAAATGGTCCATTACAGGTTACGTTAAATTCTATCTAACATTTGAACTAAAATGTAAACTGTGATAAAAATTTTGAAAAAATTAATCGATATATTTTTCAAATGTTTATCTTAAGATTATAAAATTAGATGTTTAAACAAATTATATTTTGATATTTGTAATTGCGATATTAATGAATATTTCTTTGAAAACTCTAATCTATTTAATTATATTTATTTAATATATGTCTAAAAGTTGGGAAAAATTAAAAATAAATTGATTAAAAATTTCCACAAGCAAATGACCATTTGTTCCATGTTTTTTTTTTTTTCTTTAAATTTCTAGTACGATCTGAATATATCGTAACGAATTTATTTCGATTCCTGATTGTTACTTCATCTGTTAATTATGCTTCGTGTCTAATGTTAATTTTTAGCCATTGTACCTTTCGACGTATCGTCATCCCTCCCTGAATACCTCAACGATATACATATATATATATTCTCTCAAAACAAAGAAACGAATATCCATCATAATAGACACAGGGGATAGAGTTAATTTTCATGAAGCGCGTGTAAATTTTTCGTTGATGGAAGATCAAACAGAGTGAGCCTCGCGTCTAAGTTCTCTCTAAGCCACCTTTCAAAAAAGTGAAAGAAGGAGGGGTGGAGGAGGGGGGGGAGGGGAAGAGAGAGAAACTATAACTTTGCTTGCCGACCAAACCCGCCTTCCTTTTCATCGAGCACAGAGACGCGATCTTCCTTCGTATCTCTTCGAGAGGTGTTTGCTTTGAGCAAAGATTATGATAAAGCTGAAGCAACTCGGTAATGTTGACGTTGCCTCGTTGCACTGGACCCAGCGTAGTTTGCCGTTCACGGATAACGAGTTAAACACGATAACGCTTTTTTACTGCGACGCCGACGATGACGAGTGAATTAGAAGAAAGGAGGCGAAAGAAAGAAGGGGGAAAAAAAAAATTCTTCGAACGGCCGACAGCGACTCGGCACACGAAAATTAATTATTCTTTTTTTCGAGTTTAGCCGTTCCATTAAATTTTACGTCAATATCTAACGATTGTAGATGGGATATTTGCCTCGGTCAGATTAAGTTAGGTTAGGTTAGATTGACTCAGATCGAACTTTTTTCACATTTGATTAATTTGTCGATTTTTTTAGAGTTTGAATTTTCAAATTATTAATTCTTACGTCAATATCCAAGGATTGTAAATGGGATATTTGCCTCGGTCAGATTAAGTTAGGTTAGGTTAGATTGACTCAGATCGAACTTTTTTCACATTTGATTAATTTGTCGATTTTTTTTAGAGTTTGAATTTTCAAATTATATTAATTCTTACGTCAATATCCGAATAAAAGATTATTGATAAGATTATCGTGTTCTTTTCTATTTTTTATTTTCCAATCTATTCAAAACTAATGTTTTTTCAAACATTGAAAATAAAAAGAGTTTATGTTGTGCACATGTTTCTTTATCAACTAGAACAAGGTTAGCTTTCACGTTTATCGTTAGATGTTTTGTTTTCAATTTCAATTCTCAACAATTCTTTCAATTTTCGAATTTCCATCGTTTAATTCCACTTAATTTTCTTTCTACGCGGATCAATACACCATTGTCGAAATTCAATCGAGCACAGGTGTATACTATCTATGGTGTAATTGGACATAGGTTCATAGGAACGGCTAGATGCACCGGTCTCGAGCCTTAAGCGCCTCTACGTGACTTTTGTTCCAGATTGCGGCACGTTTCCTTGTATTCTGTTATTTCTCCCCTTATTAGGTCTTACTTAAAAGTTGTGCTTTATCTTATCACTAACTAGATTGTTGCTGGTTTTATTGTGTTCTTCGTTTTTTTAACGACACGTACAATTTAATAATTTAATAATTAACGAGGGAGGATTTTTAATAATAATTCTTAGAAAAATTAATTTGTAAAATAATTATTTTGACTTAACAATTACTTTCCTATTTAAAAAAAATATATTTATATGCTTCACATAATTTGTACATTAATATATATATATTAGTTACCATAATGAATTGTATGTTTGCAATAAATATTTTATATTTAATAAATAATTGCTCGGTTTTCTGTAAAATTATTTTGCTCAAAATTTCAGTCTCCGTTTCACGTTTTTACGAAACACAATTCTTTTCAATTACATTTATGTACAATAATTCAAAAATGGATCTGAACGATGCAAGATCGTTTGATCTGGATGGAGAAAAT